CCTGAGGCATGTTAGGTATGGAGCCTGTTTCACTTGCTAGGCCACTGTGCTAACCCCCACGCCAACACACTCCTGGCCCTGGCAAGAAACCCCCTTCTCCCATCCTTGTGCCATATGTGAGCCCCCACCTGTACTTCGGCCCCAAATACAGGTCAAAGAGCAGAGAGAAATGAACCTAAGACCCCAAACCCAGGACAACTTCTTGGGCATAGATGTATTTCCGAAATTGTGACAGAAGAGAAGTGAGGGTAGAGATCTAAGAGGCAGGGAAGCTGGAAGAACATACCCAGGATGAGGGCTCAGAAAAAGGAGTCTGGAAACACCCTCTTCTTCAACCCCAATCCCAGAAGGCCCTGCTTTCCCCTTGTGATGGGTCCCTCAGTAGATGGGACTTTCAGAGGGACCTGCACCTGGGACTTGTGTGTGTTGGGAATGGGTTGGAGGTGTGTGAGGGCCAGGGAGAGGGTCTGCACAGGGGCTGCCTCTCCCGACAAGCTGTCTACAAAGAATGTAATTCATGGCGGTCGATGGGCTCTTTGATTAGTTCAATCGCCTGAATAATCATTTAATCAATAAAGCATTTCATTCCTCAGCGCAGCTGGACTGGGTGGGGTTTGGGGTGGGGAGGGGAAGCCCTAGGCTGGCCAGAGCTTGAAATTTAGAGAGCCACGCCTTCTCCTCACCAAAATGTTGGGGTGAGGGCTGCCTGCCCAGGAAAGGGCAATAGCTCAGGTGACATTGCACTTCTGCCTGTGGTCACTGGCCTTGGCCAGGGCTGGGGAAGAGAAGGGGGCTGAGAAGCTGTCCAAACTGGCACTCAAAGAGGGGGCCCAGGCCTGGTTTCTGTGAGGGCTTCTTCCCTCTTTCTACTTCTAGGCCTTTCATGGGCCACTAGACCTATCTTTTCTTCCTTCAGAACTATATTCCATTCCTTCCCCAAACCTCAATGTCTCCATCTGCATAATGGGGAGGGAGTGTGTCCTGAGACTTATAGGAGATCATAAATAGTTATGCAGGGAATAGGAATGGATGGAGAAAAGCTAATACTGGGCAAGTTACCTGCAATGGGAGCCCTTGAGTCCCTAGGCCAGAAAGACCTTGTTAGGCTGAACACTTTCCCACTGGGCACTGGCATCCAGTCTTACAGCTCTGAAATGAGCCCGGAATGGACTGATAGTAGTAATCCCCTATCCATAAAACGTCATCTCACAGAGCCTTGGCAGGTTGGAAGTCAGGGGTTGTTCTCAGTATTAGACACAGGGAGAAGCAGGTGTCCTAGGAGAAGGAGCTGCATGTCTTAAGTGTTTGGGAGAGAGAGTTAATCCCAGTGTGCTGGTAAAAAACAAAACAAAACAAAAAACAAACAAACAAACAAAACTCCTATTAAGGAAGTTGACACAGTTCTTGAAAAACCTGGTTAAATTCTCCTCCCCTCCCCCACCTCTTCAGCAACTCCTGCGAACAGATTCCTGATCCAGGTGCAGGAATCATGCAGGAATCCCCTGTGCTCCCGACTTGCAGTGTAATCTCAGGTCAGTTAGTTGCTTTTCCTCTGATACATTTTTTTTCTTCTTCAAATGAGGGTTAGCGAGAGCCCATGGGTTAGGACAGAGATGGCCGCTGCATCTCTGATCTTCCCTGAACTGAGCAACCAGTCTGAACCCTATAGGCCTCACTTTGCCCAAAGCAAGAGCAGGGAAATGGGCTGGATTTGGGCTGCAGGAGTGGATCCCAGGCCCACAGAGCTCTGTAGCAGCCCCAGCATCCTATCCTGGCGCTGCAGTAGCACTGGAGGGGACAGCAGGGAAGCCCAGAGTGGGGTGTGTCCCAAGTGAAGGGAGGTCTCTGGCCAAAATCCGAAGTGGACGCTCTCAGATGTTTCGGTTTCTCAAACATTGTTCTCAATGGGCTTTCTTTCAATAGCAAAACTTTCAAAGGCAATTCGATTTACATAAATTCAGTTCCTTGCCATATGGTTTCCTTTCCTGGTCTTCGGCCCCCAGCACCTAGCACAGGGTCAGGCCCAAAGCCCTGCTACTGGGAGAAAGAGACCACACTACTGTAGCGCACAGCAATGCTGGACCGCATTCAGGGCGGCGGCAAGACCAGCTTCCTGCTCCTCTCTCCGGGACCCAGACTGCGCCTTGAGGTTTTTCCGGAGGCGGGACTGAGGTGCCCGCAGTAGCTTGGTTCTGGCAGGGATTCACTGTGCAATCTCAGGCTAGTCACATAACCTCTCTGAGCCGCTGTTTGGTGGCCTGGTAAGGCTGGGCTAGATGGCCAAGATATCAGGTCTGGTCGCTCCTTTTGGGATTGGCCTCTTTGGGCAGTGCTGAACAAGCCCCGCTCAGAGAGAAATTCCCTCCGCTGGGAGCACCAGGGTGTGTGGGAGGGGACTGCTCTTGGTGCTCAGGTAAGGCTGGCCCTGTGTATATCACCCAGCGGAACACTGTCCCAAAGCCGAACACTATCGTATGAAATGGTGTATCCAGGCTACTCCTGTTCGGGTAATAGCTGCGGTTCCACCCCACCTCAGCAGTGCCCCAGGGATTCTATCTAAACAGCACAGGTGTCAGAAGAAAAAGTGGCTTGTGCGGGCATATACTAGCCTGGTTCTTTGATTTGGCAGCATCTCTCTCCCCCACCAATGCCCTGCCATCCTGAGAGTGTCTCTGGAGAGGCTCTTTTGAGAAAGAGGTTTCTGGCTCACAGCCTTTCTTCTACCTGAGACTTACTGTGTGACTTTGGACAAGTCTCATCCGGCCCCTGGGCCTCAGGTTTCACCCTTGCAAAACGGGGAAAGCATAGCCTCAGGGCCCTTTTAGCTCTAAGAGGCTAGAATCTGAGCTCGTAGGCCCAAGCCTACAAAGGTGCAGAGCTGGGAGTGGAGGTGTCACTGGCTGCGTCTCTCAGGGCATCCAAACCCTTTGGCCTCTTATAATGCAATTATTGGGAATGAAACAAACAAACAACAAACTCTTCCACCTCTCTAGTAGGTAGGGAGAGCTGCCACGTCTAGTCTGGGCTGGGACTCTGAATTCTAGTCATTTCAGATCCACTGGGCTCCACTGGGTGAAGTGAATTCGGGAACCCTAATCCATCGCAGTCCCTCTCTACTATTGCGATCTTCCTGCCCCAAGGCAGGGGTGGAGTTGGGTAGGGGGGGCGAAGATCCGGACTGGCAGCGGTCCAGACAAAGGAGAGAGAGCGCGCTCACCCCATCCCTGCGCACACCGCAGCCTCGCGGGTCCCCTGAGGCTCGCCTGGGGCCGTTTTTTCTGCAGCTGTGCCCTGGTGGGGGTGGGGACGGGTGTCAGCGCCGGAAACTTGTCTACCCGTCAGGGGCAGCTGGTTTGAGGACTGGGATAGAAGGTTGGTCCAAGGGCTGATCCAGTGTAGGGGTGTCAGAAGTGGAGTAGGGGTTGAGAGAAGGGAGAGGAGGGGAAACTGAGGCAGAGAATGAAGCGAGAGGATGATCCAGGAATCCTCCCAGGATCAGCCTGTGCTATGTCCTCCTTACAAGCCCAGTCTTGGAGCAGGCATCTCAGAGCCCTTGTTTTGGTGGATTTATATTTAATATCAAAGGATGATCACTTATGAATTCCAAAGGTGAGTTTTCTCATTACTCCCAGGAGCTGCTGGGACAGGGGAATCCTCAGTGTCTGATGCCAGGGCTTGAACCTGGCACATCCTAGGGCTCTCAGAACTGTAGCCTCCTCGGTGAAGAATGGCTTCCTTTTCAAGGTCCAGTTTCTTTGTGGTCCCAGAGACTTACACCCCTGAGAAACTGAGACTCGCTGGTCAAAGTCTTTCTGGGTCAGGAGAGTTCTACTAGGAATCCATCCATTTTGTCTAAATAGCAACAGGGACTTCCTCGGAAGAGGAAGGTCGGATTTTCCTGACAGCTGGAAGCTGCATCATTATAGCGGGCCTGGCGCAGCTTTGCTCCACCTTTGCAGATACAAGACGCCCGCGCACCCGCCCGCCGGCTTCAGGGACCCTCATTAGCAGTGGAAGCCACTCAGCTAGCTCATTTGGTTCCCAGGAGTCCTCTCACCGGATACGAAATTGCTCCTGTGGACAGAAACTTTCAGCTGCTCTCATCACCAGCTCCCAAAGCGCCTGGAGGCCCCCGGTCTGAGGCTGGAAAGGCCTGCCGCTTTGTGCTTGCTTGGGCAACCAGGTCCAAAGCCTCAGCCCCTCCCCCCAGGAGCGCTCTGGTTACAAGCTTTGAAGGGGTGAGAGACGTCCTTCCCGCCTCCTCCCAACATCTCTGCCTTTGGTTAATGCAGAACTGGGGCCATGAGGGAGGAGGGTGGACAAGGAGGCGGCGGCAGTGGCTTAATAAGTGCTTGATAAAAATTATGAAATAATTCTGTGGAAGGAGACTTCATCACAGACTAGTTAACCCAACTCTACCCATTTTACAGATGAGGTTAAGTGAGGTCACAGTGGGTCACAGATACGCACACTCCGAGTCCATCACGAGTCTGATGGTGCCCGAGCTCTACTGTGCTCCTTGTCCTTCTCCAACACACATTGGGTTTTTTGTTTGTTTGTTTGTTTTCTGGAGATTATTCCTCTACCCTCAGCCCTCACTCCTGCCTCGGCTGCCCCCAATCTCTCAGGGCGTCCCAGGATCCCAACGCCGCGGCGGGGAGGTCGAACCCGCGTGGGAACCGCGCAGGGACTCTCCAGGCACTGCGTGGGCCCACTTCCCCCTCGGCACATCCTCCATCCACCAGTCCTTCACCCAGCGCGTTTGTCAATGAACGTGGCGCCGCCGCCTGGGCCCCGCCCCCTATTCTCTCCCATTGCCCAGGTGTCCGCTAATCAGGCGGAGCCCGTGGGTTGCTTAGCCAATGGGGCGGTGTTTCGGACCAGGGCCGGCTACCGCCGTTCTGATTGGCCTGATGGAGCGGGATTGGCATGTTAGCCCCCGCCCCGCCCCCGCCCCCGCCCGGAGGGAGGCTGAGCCCCGGGCGGCGCTGTCCACACGCAGCGGGTCCTGAAAGCGGCTCCGGGGCGGCGCGGTGGCGCACTGTGCGCGCCGAGCAGGCGGAGGGCTAGCGCCGGCGGCGGCGGCAGTAGCAGGGCGAGCAGTCAAAGCCGGCAGCGGCTCCGTCTCAGCCCCGGAAGCCCCGGCGGCCTTAGTGGCGGGGACCCTCCACTCTCTCCTCAGTGCCTCGCTCCACGCCTGGGGCAGGCGCGGCGGCCGTCCCGGAAGAGGCAGCTGAACGACAGTCGAACCAGACGGCCGAGGGAGGGCAGCGGGGCTCGAAGAGTTGGTAGGCGTGAGGCAGATACCCAGGCGAGGAGGAGCCGGTCGCTGCTGTCCCCATTCCTGGTCCCAGCGATGGGGAAGCAGTGGGGGCCGCGGGAACTTTGAAGGCAGAGCGTCCTGGGTTTCGAGGGCTGCCAGCTCCTGGGGACTCCGGAGTCTCGGCCCCAACGCCAGTGGCGGAAGCGTCTCCGAACCCGCTAGGACCCCTGCGCTGCCGGAGAGGAAGTTCTTTGCAACTTCGTCCCAGACGTCGGAAACCTAGTCGGAGAGAGGCTGAGTGGGCAAGTCCGAGCCACAGAGACTCAGAGAAGCAGGAAAAGAAAGGATCTGGCGGAGCCTGAGGGGTCGAGGAGGGACCCTGGAGGCAGCGAGGCCGCGGAACCGACCTGGCAGATCCTGGTCTCGCTGCCTCCTGAGTGAAGCCAAGGGCCGTGTTTTCCGGTGGCGTCCTCAGAGGCGCTCGTAACCGGAGCTGGGGATCCAGCCGTCCTGGAGGCGGGCCCCTACGCTATGCCCCCGAAGCCGCGGGCGCCTTGGCCTCAGCTACCCTGGGCTGGGCCCGGAGCCGCGGCTTGAGCCAGCCAGGGAGAGAAGCCAGCCAGAGTTGGGCGCCGGGCGCCGGCTCCCCGCTGGACTGCGCTAGCTCCGTTTCCCGCCTCTCTGCGCTGCTCCCGGCGGTCTCCAGCTGGGAGACTCTGAGAGAGACCCTGAAGCTCCAGCAGTGATTTCTGAGCCCAGCTCGTACGGTGTCCGGCCTGGTGGTGCGGCTCCCTAGCCGCCCTGGGCAGCCCCTTGGCGCCGGGAGGCGGCGGCGTGGGCCGGCCTGCAGTCTGGAGCGCCCCGATGGAAATACACTGTAAGCACGACCCGTTTGCATCCATGCATAGTAAGTAGGCGGCGAGCTCGCTTCTCTCACTCTCCGGCCGGGACCGGGTTGGGGGTGCCGGTACTAAGGCCGGGGGGGACCCCCGGACCTCTGTAGCCTTTCAGCGAACTTTGCAAAGTGCAGGGCTCCCAGGCAGGGAACGTGGAACAACGCGCTTGGCCACCCAGGCCGGAGCACCTGGTCCGGGAATCCCGCCTCCGGCAATGCGTATTGTAGGCTGCGAGCTGCAGCCTTTCAGGGTCTCTGGCAGCAACATTTCAGCGTTCAGAGAACCCTGGCTTGCACCCGTAGAGGGCTCCGGGCAGGGCCAGTTGGAGGGCATGAAGTTGTAGGGAGAGGTCAGTCTGAGTCTCAGACAGCGCCCCACGCCGCAACCCCGATGGCGCCTTTTTTTAGCCACGGGGATTGATCAAGACTGGCGCTTTGAGGGAAAGTGAGGCCCTGGCCAGTGTGGAGGAAGAGGTTGAGTGCTAAGCGAGGACACTGGGTCCAGGGCTCCAAAGGCGTCTTGAAGTTGAGGAGGGGGATTTGAAAAATCAACGAACTAGCGGTCCCTGAGTTACGCTTCTGATTAGGAACCGGCCAGTTCATACAGAGACCCTTAAAGACCCCACAGGGTCCTTCTCTGCAGGACGCCTGCCTCGTCATGGCTTCTCCCCTTATAAAAAAAAAAAAAGGAAAGAAAGAAAGAAAGAAAGAAAGAAGAAGCCAATTAGTCACCATACAGGCGCCCCCGCCTTCTGAAAGACGCGCGTGTGTAGGAGACGGGAAGGGTCATTTCGGGCGCGGGCAAGGCCCACCGGCCGCCTGACCCGCGGGGATCCTGCCAGTTCACCCATTAGCACAGCCTCCTGTGAGATGAGCGCTCTTCTCACGGTGAGTTAACGCCGGATTAGATTCGGAGATTTCAAGGAAATTCCAAGTGGAACGAATCGCGTTTCCCTTCCGCTCGCTGCAGAGCCGGACTGGAGGAAGGCGCCAGGCTTTGGCAGCCTCCAGTCGGTTCTCTGCGGGCTGCAGGTCAGGGAGTTGCTCCGGAGCTGGGAGCCCTCCCCAAGCCTGGTTTCGCCTGGGCAGCCCAGGATCCAGCGTCCCCAGCCACGGGTCCCCTATTTAACAAAGGCTGCAGAGACCCGGCTGCAGAGAAGGCAAGCCTCCCAGCGAGTATGTCCGTGTCTGCCATGGAGGGCTGAATGGCCCGGCAAGCAGAGAAAAGCTGGTCTAGGCAGCCGGGCTGGCTGCGGGCAGGTCAGGTTCTCTTTGTGTCAATTTCCCGAGTCAGAAGTAATCCACCAAAGCGACGGGGAGATTTGTGCAGAGAAGCCACTTGCTCTGGTCCCAGCCCAAACGATTCTTCACCGTATGGGGCCTGCGCCCCAACGGCTTGCAGTGCATGCTGACCCCAGCACCCTTGGCAGCCTTTTCCTGCGGGACTGGAACCCGGCTCTGGGGAGGCTGTGATCTTGTGGAGCATGCCCCAAAACAAACGAATTGGGGCAATACTCTGAGAGGTGGACAAGCTCTTGGCTCAGCCAAGAGTGACTAGGAAGACAAGATGGTGAGGAGCAGCCCCTGCACTTCTTTCCTCGCCAGCAGGAATCCACAAGCTCTCACTGCCTCCTTCTGCTCAGAGCTCGGCAGCCCAGAGGTCGTGCCCTGGCCCTTGGGGAGATAGCATCAGAACCAGAGGTCTCCCTGCTGTGCATCAGCGTGGAGAAGGCAGCTCCTTCCAGGTGCAGGTTAGCCAACTGCTAATGTCTGTGCCTCCTTGTCCAGGCCTTCAATCTGCCCCCTCCTCGGGAAGTGCTCCCTCCCATTTTCAATCTCCCTGGCAGCACAGTGGGGGCTGGGCCCCAGCCAGCCTAGCTCCAGAGCTGGTAGGAGCCCTGAGCCTTTGGCATTTCTGGAAGTGCTCTTGTTCTGATGCCCAAAGCTGTTTGCTTGCATAATGTAGGCCTGCTCTGGGGGCCCCAACTTGCTGGCAATGGAGGTGGGGGGTACAGTAGATCCTGGGAGGTGGCTGGGATAATAAGAGCTCAGACCAAGTCCCACCTCTTCATCTTTCCTGGGCCTGGTCAGTTTTTTCCTGTCACCTCTACCCGCCTCTACCCCCTCCCCACAGCTTCAAAGCAGGATAGCTTCTGTGGGGAGGAGCAGGCACTGCTGAGAAATGCAAAATGCGCTTCAGAGTTCTGAGGTGCCCTCACTCCCTAGTCAAGGCTCATCATTCTTAGCAGCACCATGCCCTCCTGCCCCTCTCCTAAGATGTTTCCCTCTTCTAGGTATCTTTATCAGTTATAAAGCACTGTTGTAGCCAGTGTCCTACCTGAGTATTGCCTAAATCTTTAGCTATACCCATTTTACAGAGTATGATACTGAGGTTAGAAAGACAAATGAATTAACAAGAAGTTCACATGGGCAAAGCCATGGCTGGTTCTCAGGTCTCCCAGGCTTTCTGACAAAGGCATAAAAATGATGCTTCCGAGGATTCATGGAAGTGAAGAGAGAGGGACTCAGATTCCAGAGAGGGCAGTGGACTGTGTAAGTGAGTACACATGTGCAAAGCCCTCTCTCTGTCTAGTCCAACCATATCTGTGTCCACAGCCTGACTGTCCATGTTGTGCCAACACCTGTCTATCCATCGGAGAGTCCATTAGGGAGATTTCATCCCTGCCCTTTCCCTGTGCTCCTGTTTGCATGTCTGTGTGCCCCTTCATTCTTTTTCTCTGGTGGATCTAGGAGGAATTTCAATGATCCTGTGAGTCCTGGAGTTTAATCTGTGGCTGAGTCAGCAAAGAGCCATCCCCCAAGACCCTATGCCCAGCTATGGTCTTTGGGGTATGGGCAGGGCCCCTGGTGGGTAGCATGTTCATATCAGAGCCTGAGGAGCATCTGTGCAGGCCAGCCCCTTCCAGACCAGAGTCACAAAGGCCCCAGGGGCATCTGCAATTCAATCTTTCTCTCCCCACCCCCTACTAAACCCTGCTCAGTCTGCCCTGTGGGGGCTGGTCTGTTTCCCATGTATCTGTGGGTGTGTTTCCTGGTTTTCATCCGATTTGTTTGCAACTGTCTCTGTGTCAGTCTTTCTAAATTCTGCTTGCCTTGAAAAGTGTAGCTGAGTCCAGTCTTCTCCAGGCACCCTTCCATGGGATGAGCCCTCACCTAATTGGGGTCCACAGGAAGTAGGGGCTAGGACTTAGGTTCTTCAAGGAGAACCTAAGCAGGGCTGGAGCTGGGGTGCCAGAAAACAAAAATCCTATCTACAGGAGTCCCCTATCCTCCGGAATCTCCCTTCCTGGGCTTCCTCCATTTTCTTTTCTTGTTGCCTCCCGATGTGCACCGGATTCACCTTTCTTTTCTTGGCCCGTTCTAGCTTCTCCATTTCTTTTTCTTCTCTGGCTGCCTAGCTTGCTGCTTCCTTTCCAAGTGCTCTCTCCTTGCTGTCTGTCTCATTTAGTTCCCACCCTTGCACCCTTCTCCATACACTTCTTTTTTTCCCCTGTGCCTCCCTTCTGTAAGACTTTGGGCTTTACTTCTTCCCAATCCCAGAATAAGTGGCCTTCCTCAGACCACTTTTTACAACCACAGTTGTAATTCTTCTCACCATCGTCTTCAAAGTGCTCTATTGGGTAGGACTGTGACCAAGGCAGAGAGGGCCAAGTGGGCTTGGGGGCCTTTCCAGGAAGTTAAGACGGGTAAGAGGCTCTGAGGTCACCCTGGGTCTGGTGTCAACTGTAGACCTGTGGAAGAGCATTAGCAACTCGGTCTTTGTGGTCAAGGATAGAGGGTTTAAGGACTGTTGCCACCTAGAAAGACCAGGCTCTGGGAGACCCTTGGCGTTTTTTTCCTGTAATGCAAAATAGCCCCCAAAGCCCCAAATATCCGGTAGGACTGCTTTTGGAATTTAAGTCTTTTGAAAGTTACTGCTGTGTTTTAGGCAGAAAGTCTCAATTGCCAGTGGTAGAGGGAACAGTCTATTGCAGATGGGCCACAATACCTGGATTCCCAGCTTATATCAAAAGTGTGCTAGGTGTCTTAGCTTTCTTTCTTGTCTTCCCAGATGAGCTCATAACAATTTTGAATTTACTTTCTTTTACTTAAATCCTGTCTGCTCTTGAAAGATCAGTATAACCCCTTTTTATTAGATGTTCCCAGCCCCAGAACAAAGCTCTTGACCAGAGTGACTGCAGTCTTTCTCTTTTAGATAAATTATGCAATTGTGTTCCTAACTGCAAAATCTCGTTTGGAATGATTTTCCTTTTTCTTATGTCTAGAATATTTTAGAATAATCAAAACTGATTAAAGCTCGTTTTGAAAATCGGAGAGAAATTCAGCTTAGAACTGAACTAAGTACTGCAGTCATATATAAAATTATGTTTCTCCTTGAAATAAGCCTGAACTTAGAAATTTTGGGAAATATTCATGGGAAATTTCAGTGGATTACTTGAACAGGTCTTAGAAAATAGGTTATGTTCTGCTTGTTTCTGCCCCCTCCATATCATATGTTGTTCATGAACCTGAGTAGTAGCTGAGTACTGTGGGAAACAGCTAAGATGAGGCAACAATTTAATGTCTTAGAGTTGGAGTGTACTTGTGCGTGTGACCTCTGACATGCCTTGGCTGCCCTTGTATAGTCCAGTCCCAGCCCAGTCCTGGTTTAGGAGGAGGTTTCCCCTTCCTTGGCCTCTGAGCTACCAGCAACATCTGTACATGCTTGGACTTAGCTTTTGGTTCCAGTCCTTAGCAATGTCAGTTAATGGTTGATTAATAGCTATAAGGTCAATGATGTTGCTACATTGGATCACTCTATGTTTACTAGTGGTTTTACTTGGTCTTCATTTTCCTAGGATCCCTGTTTCCTTCCAGATGGACCTTGATGTAAGAAAAGGGAACATATAGGTGGAGGAGGCACTTTCCTACACTTCATTTCCTTAAAATCTATCCCATGGCCCTTGTAAAACCTGGGATTCGAAGATTTCTTTGGCTTCTTTATTTCTCCCGAACCAAATTAAAGATGTTTGTCAATTGTAAAACACTCCAGAAATTCCAGGGAAACTCCTTTATAACAAATCTGATGCAGTGGAGTAGAGTGTGCTATGTGTAGAAGATCCTATGACACATTTCTTTTGTGTGCTCCGAGCAGGTACAGTGGTCAAGTCTGCATGTCAGCCTTACCTTCTTAAAGGAAGGGTTTTTAACAAGGCAGTGGTTGGGTTTTTTCTCAGTACTCTGCACAGGCTGTTGGAAAAAAAATTTTAAAGTCCTTAGCCCTTGAATTAGATTTATGATTAATTTGTTTTTCTGATATACAGGTTTATTGGAGTAGTCCCCTTTACTTTTAAAGATATTTGTTAAAAGGAAAATAGTTTCACTTTTTTCTTTTTAAATTTGATGTGTTTTAAAACATATTTTCTCCCCAGGATTTTCCTTAGACTTCAGAATCATGTAATAAGTTATGCACCTTTAGTCTAGATTGGGGTCTTCACACATTTCTTTGTTAAAAAAATATTATAAGGAAAATGCTGGTAACTAAAGGAAACCTAGTATGGGGATGCTTGCTGTCAATAGCTCAATTGACTGGCTGCAGATGGACAAAGACTAAGATTAATTTTAAAAAGCAATCTGGGGTCCTTGTGTAGTTAGCACAATAGGACTGTAGGCACAAGACATGCAGCCTGCCGACCGTTCGTGATCAGAGGGGCACTGGGTGCTCCCAGCGGTGCTTCTACTATGTGACTGGTTCTAACCACTCTTTCCCTTTCTTTTTGTTTCTGATCTGTTTCAGGACATGGAGGAGTGAATCAGCTTGGGGGGGTTTTTGTGAATGGACGGCCACTCCCGGATGTAGTCCGCCAAAGGATAGTGGAACTTGCTCATCAAGGTGTCAGGCCCTGCGACATCTCCAGGCAGCTTCGGGTCAGCCATGGTTGTGTCAGCAAAATTCTTGGCAGGTAAAGGCAGGAGCTCCAGGCTTCCCTTGATCTTTCAAATAAAGACCTAAAACACGATCCAGCAGCTGTCGAGTGTGCCAGTGTCATAGTGAGAATCATGGCGGCATTTTGCATAGCACTTTAGAGTTTGCAAAGCCCTTTTGAGACCCCCATCCAATTCAAAGTATCCCCAAGAAACCCCTGTATCAAGTGACATGTGAAATAAGGTGACCTAGTCAGGAGGGACGGCATGTTTTCTGGTGAAAGTCTGGTGAATTGTTCTAAAGAACTCAAGAGTAAGAGGCTCTTGGGAATTTCCCTGCATGTCTTAGGTCAGCGAGGGCCCCGTGCAGGACTGGGTGGAAAATCTTTAGATTATAATATCACACAACCAGAGTTCAACGTTTCATTTCAATGTTTTCAAAAACCACATTCCACTTTTTTTTTTTTTTTTTTTGAGACAGAGTCTCGCTTTGTTGTCCAGGCTAGAGTGAGTGCCATGGCGTCAGCCTAGCTCACAGCAACCTCAAACTCCTGGCTCAAGCAATCCTCCTGCCTCAGCCTCCCAAGTAGTTGGGACTACAGGCATTCGCCACCATGCCCGGCTAATTTTTTGTATATATATTAGTTGGCCAATTAATTTCTTTCTATTTATAGTAGAGACGGGGTCTTGCTCTTGCTCAGGTTGGTTTCAAACTCCTGACCTCGAGCAATCTGCCCACCTCAGCCTCCCAGAGAGCTAGGATTATAGGCGTGAGCCACCGCGCCCGGCCCACGTTCCACTTTTAAAAGTCAGTTGTCATCTTTAGTTTTGGGCTATTAGCAACCTTATTATGTTGGGCTGCAGTATTTTCCTTTTCTACGTTTTGTTTCCTTCATAGTGACAGGCATCCTAAATATATATTAGAGAGGAGGGAAAAAAAAAAAAAAGGAAACACTAACACTCTAATCTGACATTTGAAAGTTGCCACTTGACCCTGCGATTTGCTGCAAGCAAAATACTAACAATGACGATTCTCCCAGAGGGCTTTTAGCACTCTCATTTATTTTCTCAGTAACCTTAGCATGATCCAGTGAAGCATGTTTTAAGATGAGGATACAAACCTAGGGAGGCATAGAGGACCCTTAGACCATCCTTGTCTCATCACACCCCCATCACAAAGCCACGGGTTTGTTTCCGGGCGTGTGATATTGTCACAGGTCTGCCCTGGCAGGCCGGAGCATTTCTCGGGTTTAGCTGCTCCGTGCTTTCTTTCTATCTCTTTCCCTGGGTCAGAAAACAACCTGTGTCCTGTAGCTTGCATTATGGTTTGAGAACAGATGCCTGAATAGAAAATAAATATTTTCAAGTATATCAGTGACACTGTGACTTTCTGCTTGCACTTTTCCTTTCATCTGCTGGAATTCAAGAAATTCTCCAGATGGAGGGAGCAACAGTTTCTAATAACCTTACTTGAGGCCAAGGGAAGAAGTTTCAAGGCCAGGGGTCTGGCAGGTCCTTTAGGGACCTCGATCCCTGTGTTTATTCTGCATTCTCTGGTCGGGTGCAGGTCCCTTCAGCTGTGCGGGCTGCGGTCCCCACTCCTGCTTAGCAGTCGGCAAGCAAAGGAGCCCCAGACAGAGGGAAAGGAGGAACACAGGCATCAACGTGGTGTTCTTGTCTGATGGTTGTTTTAGACAGAGGATGAGAGAGAGAGTAGAAGAAGAAAAGTAAAAGAGAGAGGATGGAGAAAAGAGAAAGAGAAAAGCAAATGATTTTTAAACGAAATAGAAAGAGACATTAAAATGAAGACAAGATGGAAGGAGGAAGAAAGAGAGAAGAGAAAAATATTTTAGAGTATCTCAGCATCAGACTTCTAGAGCTGAATGGCTCTTAGATATCTTTTTGTGGAGCCTCTTTATTGTACCGAGGGAGAGAGAGAGAGAGAAAGAAGGCCCTTCCTTTGTTTTTGCTGAGACATCTTTGCTGAGCCGACATTTTGCTCGCTATTTGAAATCTTCTCAGGGCAGGATACTGAGCCTTTTTCCGAGGGGACATCCAAATGCTGGGTGTTCTGGTGCTCTGGAGACCTCCAAATCTCTCGTGGAGACAGAGGGGAACAGGAACCCTTCCAAACCCAGCTGGCAGCCTCTCGCGGCCCAGAATAGATTTGTCACTAGGTAGAGTGGCACTCGGAAGTTACGCGCCGCTCCGGTGCCTGGCCGTTGGAGTTGTCAACAATAAATTGGAATTTCATAGCTCATTATTTTCATAACTAAGAACCACAGTGGACAAAATGTCACTCTAATTAGAACTGCCTTTTAAGAAACAAGTTCAGCCCTAAAACAGTGTGACTGGGAATTTCTGAACTGGGGCTGTTCGATCCACAGATTGTTTTTTTTTTTTTTTTTTTTGGTCACCGAAGAATTTGATGGGTATACAGGAGGTGACAGATTGCAGAGAGCATGTGGTGTGTGGTGGCTATGGTTTGCAGAGGCTGTGTGGCAAGGCAGGCAAAGTCCCTGGGGGTAGGCAGGGACCCCCGTCATCTCAGGAAGGTGGGCGGTCTGCCAGGAGTGTGGGCATTCAGTCCACAGAGCTCAAGGCTTTGCAAGGGCTTGAAAGGCGCAGCTTGGTGGCATGTGAGGCCGAGTTAAATCCACCCAGAGCTCGGTTGTTGTCTTCTTTCACTGGAGCCTGGTTGGGAGGTTCAGTTCATTTGGAATTGGGTGGTATGCTACGCAGTAATAATAAACACTCAGGGGGTTTTAATCCTTAACATGTGCTTTTCATTTTATGTTTTGCGAAGCTTTTTGTTAACCTTCTATATTTCTGTCTTCACAACAGCCCTGCGAGGCAAGCAGGGCAAACATCCTCCCTCTATTATATAAATGGGGTAACTGAAGCCTAGAGAGGCCAACTGAGTTGGCCAAGATCACACAGTGAGGTAGGGTCAGAGCCACTGACTAGCCCCTGCGCCTCTTGACTGCTACACTAAAATGGTCTTTGCACCGAAGGATGCCGTGTGTTGGTGGTCGCTGTTCGTCTTTTGTCTGTAAGCCAAAGAGCTGCACGGCTGTTTTGCTGAGATGAAAGGATAGTTATTAAATCTGAATCCTCACTTGACACAGTTTCAAGTTGGGGTTTCAGGAGTGTCAGGGTTGCCTTCAAAGTGCCTGGCCCCTGTGTCAGTCAATAGGAAGACAGAGACCTCTCACGCCAAGACCGTAGCCTCACCTGCTTGGCACTGCTTAGGTGGGATGGGCGGGGAGGCCTGGGTGCTGTCACCCACCAACCACGTAAGTGAGGGCTGGAGTGGGGGCTTCCTCCTGCTGCCCTTTCAGAGCTGCAGTGTGAATGTTGCATTCAACTAACATGTTTTGGGTATCCAGCACAGGGTTGTCTATGTGTCTGTAACCCCTTCCTTGAGATTGTGTCTGCCCTAACAGACACCTGGTGACTTGATTCAGTGGTGGACTAAATGAAAAAATGCATGTAAAAATGCCTGGTGAACAAAAAAGCTCTCTGCAATCGCAAGGGATCATTAGTGTCACTATTCTAGGTTTTATAACCAAAGCAGCAGTTTGCTCAGAGTCAGATTGGAAAGCTGGGGCTGCCTCTAACTTACAGAAGGGAGTTGGGCAAGTCACATAGTTTTCTGATCATTTATTTTCCTTTCTATAAAGCTCTGTGGTCTCACAGGATTATTGTGAGGATCAAGATAATTTGAGGATGTGCTCTGTATACTTTAGAGTGCTGTGCCTAATAACGAGTTGTGTTACAGTAAACATCAACTCTCTATTGTAAAATTGTTAGGACAATTAGAAGCTGCAGAGATTGCGGTGTGCCCTGATTTCAGTACTGTTCTAGGCTTCTGGCAACAAATATTTTCTGGGATATTTTAAAAGAGCTGTTTGTGAATAATACACTTTTCAGCAATTACAGAAAAATTGCTGAAAGCAATTTTTTAGAAAGAAGGAGGATAGGTTGAGTTTTGCCTTATGGTGAAAATTCGTAAGTGACTCATTCTTCTCAATGAAAAATAGAATTTTCACTTCCACATCACTGCTCCCAAATTATTTCATCTTTTCTAGAATCTTCACTAACTTGGCCCTAGCCAGGCTTACGTAAACTGAGGATTTCAGCATCTCTGTAAATGTGACCAATTGTTCCTGGCTAACATTTCCCACCTGTCTCGGAATCACCTCATTCTCTTTACCTATTATACACTCTTGTTAGGTTTAAAAATTACCAGTCATTTCTAAAATGTCTTTTTGGTTAAAAAAAAATTCAACTGCAACATAATCTCCTTTGGAAGAGGAAATCAAGAATTCCTCTGTAAATATTGAGAGAGACATCCAGTGACGGCTTAGATTCAGGGAAGGAATCAAGTCATTTTTTTCCCCCTGAAATGATCTTTCATGGCACTCTTCTCCCTGGTCTCGGTTTTACTGTAAAACCCTGACATCCTATTTTCGTTAACGAGGAAAAGCTGATAGCATGGAAATGTCCTTAGAAACAGCCATTTACCTCAGGGGAGATCCCTGGAAGAGCTGCCATGACTTGTGGTTGGTTTTTCTGACTGCTCGCGTTTTGACTTACAACACACATTTCCAGTTAATTCTGGAATCCAACACTCCTTTTGATTTTACACCAGGGTTGTTTTTTTCTCTTAGGGAAAAATAAGTTGCATTTTAGAGGGTAATTTCACAGAATGCTGGGGTTTCTGCTATGCGATGGGAAAGCTGGCAAGTCAAAGTAGAAGCCACCTTGCTGGGAAAATTTTAGTTCGAGAGGCTGAGCCACAGCCCTGGCTTGGCCGCTTGGTCTCGTGTGACCCCAGGGAAGCTGTCCAAGCTCTATGAATCTCAGTTTTAGACCTGTAGATGGGGGCCTATTCATTTATTTGTTCCTTCCTTCCTTCATTCATTCAAAACAATTTATGTGCTTTAGAACTGTTGAAGATCAAATGGGAAAACTGACTTGCAAATTTTCTGTTGGCTGTGAAATGGTAGATGAATGTGAAAGAATTTTGTTAATGCCTAGACTACTGTCAGCACTGTCCAATACCAATATAACGTGAGCCATATATGCAATTTAAAGTTTTCTAGTTTTACCTTTACATTAAGAAAAGTGAAAAGAAACAGGTACAATTAATTTTAGTTATATATTTTATTTAACCCAACATATAAAAATTATCATGTCAACATATAGCCAATATAAAAATTATTAATGAGATATTTTACATTCGTTTTTTTGGTGCTAAGTTTTAAAAATCTTGTGTGTTTTATGTTTATAGCATGTCTTGATTCAGACTAGCCACATTTTATTTTATTTTATTTTATTTTTTATTTATTTCTTTTTTTGAGACAGAGTCTTGCTTTGTTGTCCAGGCTAGAGTGAGTGCCATGGCGTCAGTCTAGCTCACAGCAACCTCAAACTCCTGGGCTCAAGCGATCCTACTGCCTCAGCCTCCCGAGTAGCTGGGACTACAGGCATGTGCCACCATGCCCGGCTAATTTTATATATATATCAGTTGGCCAATTAATTTCTTTCTATTTATAGTAGAGACGGGGTCTCGCTCTTGCTCAGGCTGGTTTTGAACTCCTGACCTTGAGCAATCCGCCCGCCTCGGCCTCCCAGAGAGCTAGGATTACAGGCGTGAGCCACCGCGCCCGGCCTTTATTTTTTTTTTTTTTTGACACAAGGTCTCACTCTGTCACCCGTGCTAGAGTGCAGTGGCATCATCATAGCTCACTGCAACCTCAAACTCCTGGGCTCAAGCGATCCTGCTGCCTCAGCCTCCCAAGTAGCAGGGACTATGGGTGTGCACCACACCCTGATAATTTTTTTCTATTTTTTGTAGAGACAGGGTCTTGACCTTGCTGAGGCTAGTTTTAAACTCCTGGCCTCAAGTGATCCTCCTGCCTTGGCCTCCCAAAGTACTGAGATTATAGGGGTGAGCCACTATGCCCAGACTATCCACATTTCAGATGTTCAAAAGTCACATATGGCTGGTGGCTACTGTATTGGAACAATCCGATCTGCATGTTTCCTAGAGAGAATAGCCCATTATGATTTTGTTGCCAACATTCATTTTGCCTGTTCCCCATGGCTAAGCTCCTTTCTCCTTGGGTCCTAGGTATTATGAGACGGGAAGCATCAAGCCTGGGGTAATTGGAGGATCCAAACCAAAGGTCGCCACACCCAAAGTGGTGGAAAAAATCGCTGAATATAAACGCCAAAATCCTACCATGTTTGCCTGGGAGATAAGGGACCGGTTGCTGGCGGAGCGGGTGTGTGACAATGACACAGTGCCTAGCGTCAGTTCCATCAACAGGTGAGCAGCTGGTGCCTGTGGGTGGCTAGGGATCTGGGGGGCAGTGGGGGTCCTGGAGATTCTGTGTGTGCCTCCTCTGAAATCTGGCCTCTGCTTTCACCAAGGCCCTTTAGGGCTTGTTGGACGGGAGGGGATGCTCACGAGGCCTGTCGGATTTCTTCTCTCTCTTCTTTATCTTCTCTCCAAAGTGGACAGGAGTCCTAGGCCCAGGGAGGGGGCTATGCTAACACCCAGGCTGCTTGAGACTCTTCTGAGCCCAGAGTGATTTCCATCCCTCCTTTCACTGCCCACCTATATGTGTGGAGCACTTTGCAGTGAATCATCCTGACTAGGCCTTCATAAATGTCACTGTCCCTGCAAGCCTGGGCTCAAGGTCTGAGCACTGGCTCATCTCAGAGGTTCCCAGGAACAAAATCCGGCCTCTAGTTTGGGCGGAGGTGGAGCCAGTGAGTGAGGGGAACAGAGCCCTGTCTTGGAGTTGGGAGACTTGGCTCCATGCTCCATCTGCCGCAAGTGGGACCTTGACAAGGCTCTTCCTCTCTGCAAGAGCCTGGGGCCCTGGTGGCTCTGATGCAGGTCTGCAGTCCCCAGAGGTGTTGTCCAGGATGCTAAGATGCTCTAGAGGTAGGGGATTGCCCTCTCCTCAACTCCACTGAATCTCACACATGGAGAGGAAGAACCAGAGAAATACCTGGGTGCCAGGCACAGGATCTTCCTGGGCGCCACAGTGGCTCCCTCTCCTCTCAAGTCTGAGCCAAGATACATCAAAGGGCGCTCTCCGAGCTTTAAAAATAAACATCTGGAGGAAAGTTTTCTATTGTAGATGGTGCATTTCAACTCCATTTAAACCCAGAGTCAAGGATGCAGTTGTGACATGAACAGAAATGATTGTTCTTTAAACTCTGCAGAGAAAGGAGAAGCCAGCAGACTGAAAACTTGGAACAGTTCCCATTTCTCCCAGGTGACGCCCTACCGTCATCAGTGCACAGCCCGTTTGGGCACAGGGGATGCTTACCCCTGTCAGAAAGAGGTGGTCAGACTAGAATGTCTCTGAGATCCCCTCTGGTCCTGGCAGTTGTTCCTTCTGTGACGGCTCAAACACAGAGAATCACCATGTGCGTCATGTTGATGTTTGGAGTCCGGCTGTTTCATAAATTGCAAACTTTGCGGAGGCCCTGGCATCATGCAAGGTGCAGAGGGAATTGAGGGGAATCGGGCACACGGTTCTCAGCCTCTCTTCTAGAAGGACTCCTCATCTAGGGTGGAATTCTGACATGCACTTGGGAGTCTGGGATGCCTGGACGAGATTGCTGAGGAATTAGCAGTGGTTGTGGTGGGTTTGTAGGGGAACAACTCCTGTTCTTTTTCTGGAGTATGAGGGGCTCCAGTGTGTCCTGTGAGTCCTCTCTTCTGGCTCGATGTAGGATTTCCATGACACAAAGCAACATGACAGGCAGTTGGCCTGCTCTGCAGGAGAACCTCGGCTAAACCCCCCTGGTCAGGCTTTCCCAGTGTGGGGAACACATAGAATTGGTGGGTTGCAAGATAACTTCAGGTTGTCTTTGGGGCTCACAAACTCTAATGTCTGTCTGACCTGGGGCCAGGCAGGTATGGTAAGGAAGGAAGCAGGCCAGGCATAAGACAGGTGCCAGATGTTTTCCATTCTTCAAGAGAAGCCAGAAACCAGGACTTTTGTGTATGTATCTATGTGTGTTTATGTATGTGAAATCTCTATGTTTTTAAATGGAGGCAACAAATTTCAATAGAAAAATGCCTTGTGGGACAAGCATAACCCATTTCCAGAGCACAGGCTTATGTCCTTCATAATGTAAAGATGAAAATTATTTTGTGATGAATTTATTTTAATGTATTTTAGAAAAATATAAATAACACACCAAACCAGTGAGTTTGTGAACGTTGTGAACTCCACTTGATACCCCCCACCAACCCTTATAGTAAGGAACTACAATTGCCTTATAAAATACATTTATTTAAGTCAAAAAGTAAGCTATGCAAAAGAAACCTGAGAGGCAGATAGAGCAGAGGTTGCAGACGTGGCCAAGGCCTTGCAGGGGTAGGGGTGAGCGGCCGAGGGGAATCGCCCATCTGCTGGTGCTCTCTGCTGCAGCTGTGCGGCGCGCAGGTTCTGAGCGCCGGCTGCTGCAGCCACGCTAGCCTCAGGGCCTCTTGAGTGTCCTGGTCCAAAGCTGTGGCCCACCTGGCCGTGCCTCTAAGGTGCTTTCACATCTGTGGTCTCCTACGGTCCTCAAGGCCTGACTCTACCGTGTGGCAGGGACAGACACCGATGTCCAGATGGGGAGTGCAGAGGAAAGTGACTTGGAGATAGAGATGGGAGGAGATCCCCGGTCTCCGGATGGTAAGAGGAGGGCTAGTCTCTTCCCACCACTGTCTGGTAGGACTCTGCAAGTGACAGCACTGAGGATCCGAGAGAAGAGGGGCAAAGGGGAGTTAGGAGTCTTTCCTCATCCGTTTCAGGGCTTCGTGGGCTGCATGCTTTGCTGCCTGTCTGCCCACTCCCTCTCACCCTTAGTCCTTTCCAGTGCTCCTCTTTGGGAGCACTTTCTGACTTCTCACTGCACTCTTCAGTGACAGCTCACTGAGCACGGGACAATCTCCTGCCGCTGCATTCCCTACTGCTCACCCCCAAAAAGCCTGCATCCAGTTTTATTTTCCTAGCATCCAGTTTTATTTTCCTCATGAAAGCAAAGCTGCCACTACGTTCAGATGGATGCAGCTTCTACGTACTTGCCTTGCAAATGCCACTGTGTAAGAGGGTCCGCAGCTGTTCCCCAGCCCCTGCCTCCCTTGGAGGCAACTTCTCACTCTTCCCCTGTTTCAAACAGCTAGGGAGGGAGTGGTGGCTAGATTTGTCATGGGGTCCTCTCCATGTCCACCCCTAGATGTGTGTGCTTGTCTGCTGTCTTCAGGTGGACCCACCTGGGAGACCATGACTGACAAGGGATTCAACAACACTGAACTAGTTCTGCTAGGCATGGGAGAGATTTCCTGAGGAACAAACCACCCTGTTCGTTTGACTTCTTAAGGACAGATGTGTGCTGAGGTGCTGCACGACCCACATAAGGGATTCCTGGAATCCAGTCTGAGTGTCAGTTGGAGGTGGCTGTCCCAGAGCTGGCCCAAACAGTGGGTGGAATGGAGTCTTCTTTCTTCTGTTCCAGTCCTGTGGCTCTAAATCAGGGGCTAAGTGATGGGGACTACGAGTGGCATTCCCAGTTTAGATGGGGGGGGCGGAGATGGGGGGACAGCTACAATTAGCATCCAACTTATAAATATTAGTAACTAATTCAAATTAAAATAAATATACTGTACAGGCCAAACAAAACTTGTTTGTGGCTGGATGTGGCCGGGGAAGATGATTTGTTAATTCTGGTCTTCATCCTAATTTTGTTGGTAGACCTTTAGAGATTGTTTACCCATTCCCACTTTCTCATCTCATCCACGACAGTTGCAGGCTTGGGTGCCACCTGTGGGTCCCCTCCCAGCTTGGCTCAGCTGGACCCCTGGTTTTTCAATTCTCAGCATAGCTGATGGACAAGCTTCTTACTGCACCAGTGGTAGTTTGATCAGTGCCGTAGACAAGGGTGTTTCTTCAGCCTTATCTCCCCACTTCCTTTTTCAAGGCGCAGTGATTTTCTCTTTCAATGTAATTTTGTGAGGGATGGTGGGGGAATGGTGGTGAGAAGACCTAGCCTTTCTTTTTATTTTATTTTTTAAAGCCTTAACTATTTCTTATGCAGCTCCTACACCAAAGATACCAAATTTAAGGGCAGGAAAAGGCTGCAAAGCATTTAATTTAAGGACCTAGCCTTTCTTTCTTTATTTCTTTTTTTTTTCTTCCTTGCGATCCCTTGATCCCTTGGCGGAGCTTCCTTTTCTTCCCCTCTGACCTCGGGAAAGACCTAGCCTTTCAAAGGAGGGAGAGTGATGTTTACAGGGGATCCTTAAATGTCTGTAATACATAAAATCCCTAAGAATTTTAAACCTCAAATCCTAAATGGATTTTGAATCCAAACAGGCTCTATGCCTCATATAGGAAGTATTTTAGCAGAGAGACCGCTTCCTTTGAAGGTGGCTCAAAGAAAAGTGCTCAGGCATAGGAGCTTGGAGTCTGGGCTGACTTACCGTGTGACCCTGGACAAGTTGCTTGAGTACTCTGAGCTTTAGTTTCCTGATCCATAGGAACAGTTTGCTTGCTGAGCTCTCTGTTCACTGACCTAGGATGTTCACACAGTACGGCATCCATGGTCATGCTTTTACTTAGCCAGGTAAAGGATGTGCCTTTTAGTGTCGACTGCCAATTCACCCCAGCTATCTCTGGCTTAGAAAAAGCCCTGAGTGTGCTCTTATTATGGTAAATCTTGACGATAGCTTACATTTTTTATTGTTAGCTTTTTTTAGAATTGTTAGGATTCCATTATACAGCCTTGTTCTTACCACTGCTATTTCTTCTCAATGGGAGACAAAGCTCTTTGTGTTGACTTGGCAGTTGCTGCAAGCAGATGGGCAAAATCTCTCAACCCTGGAGACGGCTTTGGAGGGTTCCCTATTATTTTTGGATCCCCCAAAAGGATAGCCCCACTGCAGCCTTAAAATAGGGCATGAGGATGGCTACCTTCTCCTCCCTAGCTTCCAAGGGGACCCCATGTGCTTTTTAAGGCAAATGTGAAAAATATGTGAACTTTTTAAGGTTGAACCTGGTCATTAAGCTTTATGAAGACACCACTGAAAATAATATCTAACATTTATTGATCATTATAAAGTATCCACTATTCTAAGCATTTAATTATTTAATCCTGATATGCTTTATGATTTATGATATGATTTAATCCCTATGAGATAGGACTGATTCTTAGTCCCATTTTGCAGATAAAGAAACTGAGGCATAGAGAGGTTAAGTAATTTACCCAAGGTCATGTAGTTGGCAAATTGCAAGGATGGGATTCAAACTCTAGTAGTCTGGTTCTGGAGACTGTATTCTTAATCGCTGTGTTGCAGCTGCCTCTCAATGATTTATGACAATTAATAATACTTTACCAGTGACATTCACAAACATTTATTTTAATGAGAAAAACATGATTTTCTTTGCTTCTGTACAGACACTGCTTTGAGAAGTTAGGACTTTAAGCTGAACTACAGTGATATATTTTGGCATATATTTATATAGAAATGAACTATATTTATATCTGATATAGTCATATATTCACATATTTATCAGTATATCTCTGTAGACACTTACACAGAGAAGGGACATATACAAAAATACAAATATTGGTCAGATACCAGCTTAATTCCAGGTGGTCAAAAGTTTGCTTAGTTAAAATAAGTGGTTTGAATATTGGAGAAAACAAAAAAACAAACAAATACCCTGAATGTATTTACGGTAACACTTAAGTACAAAATGTCCTTTGCTGAGGTCAGGTAGCCAGGGCACCAGAGGGCCTGTGTGGTCAGACTGTAGGGTGAACAGAAAAACTCATTCCAGGCTATCAGCGAAGGACATGGAGTGCCCTTGGTGCCCAGCACTGAGCTATAAGATCAGAGAGGGCAGAAGCTACTGCCCAGTGAGTTTAAGGGGAGGTACCAGCTACTTCTGTCCTTCTGTGCAAGCTGGAGACCCAGTGCAGCTTTGAAACGAACTTCCAGGTATAATGGTCTGGAATGTGAAAAAGCTGCTCATAGAATGTTGCATGAAAAGAGCAGGATGTAAAACTGTGTTTAAAACATGGATTAATCCTGATTTTGTTAAGAGAAAAATGGATATTTCTAAATGGACATTTCTAAATGTTGGCCTAATGGAAATATATGAAAATGTAGTTTTAGATGTCTTTATAATTTTGCATGCTGTCCAAATAGGCCACAATGAGCACATATTACTTTTATAACGAAAAACTCTAATAAATGTGTTTTTAAAAGGTAATAGTTTGAGGCTGGAATAGAACTTTTCCAAAGAAACTGAACATTTTATTATGACTCGCTCTTCTCCCAAATGCCAGGGAAGGAACTGTCTTGTAGATCCCAAGGGACTTTGGCTTGGCCCTGTTCTGCTGCTGTAAGATTCACTGGGCTTGTGGTCTCCTGGAGGCCCCATACATTGTCCCAGCTGGAAGTCTGCAGCCCAGGCTCCCCAGAGCCCAAGGACATACAGAAGAGCATCAGAGCTTCCAGGTGGCCAAGGGAAGGCAGTGCAGCTGTTATCCCTTTTATATACTGGTACTGGGCTTTCCCATAACATTTATTTTTTTAAGGGTTTGATTACTTAAAAACAAGCAAAAAAGCGGTATGTTTCAACTCCCTCATTCTACTGAGGCTCATAATGGAATGGACTTGTTCAAGGTCACAATCAAGTTCCTAGTAGAACTTAAGCAAGGTCTCTGGAAAGACAGGCTGGGATACCCCTGGCTCCAGCCCTGTGAATCCTTCCTGTGAGGTTTGGTGCGAGGTGGGCTTCCTCATAGCAAAGCCAAGCCAGGTGTCTCCTGGCAGCACTTTAACCCTCCCTAGTTTCAGAACAACACTTACAACCCCTCCCTTGGCAATTTCCTGTGGGCAGGGGTGTTAATCTTACTTATGAATTCTCCAGGGCAGGGAAACCAGCATGTCGAGTTGTCAGAGGACAGAGAGGTCACCTGGTTCAATTTCTTCATTCCACAGATGGGAGGCTGAGGTCCAGGGAAGGGAAAGAACTCCCTAAAGTCACTCAGTGAGTCCCTTAAGAGCTGGAGTTATACCCGAGAAAGGGATGCCTACTTGCAGCGTTTACACAGCATCCCCCTTCTTCAGAAGAGACACTTGAAGCCTAGAGAGGGGGTGCAGGTTACCCAAAGACACCCAGACATATAGGGGCTGAGCTGGGACTAGTCAGTAATTCTTCCAACCTCCCAATGTCCAACCTGAGTTCATAATCTCTCCCGACCTCTGCCTCTCTGCCCCAGCTTGATCCATGGCCCGGCTTGGGGATGGGTTTTCTGGTCGTCTGTGCATAGCTGGTTGAGGTCTCTTCTCCTACCTCGTGGTAAATAGCCATTTTTCTTTTTCCCAACTTCCCACAGGATCATCCGGACTAAAGTACAGCAGCCACCCAACCAGCCAGTCCCAGCTTCCAGTCACAGCATAGGTAAGAAGAACTTTTAAAAAAAATTTAAAAATCTAATGGGCTCCAAATATTCTAAAGAACTTTTAATCATTCTTATGGACAGATAATTCTGCATAAAACACTTCGGCACGCGTACTAATGCGCCTTCTTTGTCATTCTCCAAGGGCTGAACCTGGTAAATGAATTTTATAAATACTGCTAAAAGGTTTTGAATTTTACTGATTATTATGATAAATAGCTTTCACCATGAGACAGAAAATTGAAATCTAAGCCAAAAAAAAAAAAAAATCCACTAATGGGGGTCTATAGAATGTCAGATAATTAAAGTAATAAATCAAGAAAGGGATACTTATTCATAACATTTTCTGCATCATTAGTCAGTAAGTAGTTTTGAATGTGTTTTTTTCTTCTATCAACCAGCCCTTCCACAATTCTTTGTGCACTTGCAGTCTTGAGTGAAGATATGGCAAAAGTTCCCAAACTTTCTTTCTGTCTCTCTGTCTTGCTTCGCTCTCACGTTCTCTGTGAACTGTCGAGGGCTGCCAGTGGGGTTGCCGACGCTGGCAGGTGAAGTCTGGGCGTGACTGTTACTCAGAAGCGTGGGAGTGACATTTCCTCTCACTCAAGAGTTCAGAAATTTCCCTCGCCTTCCCGCCAAAGATTGGGAAGTGAAAATGACGTGTCTATTTAAGGTGTATTATTTCTTCACTTGGGATAAAGGAAACACTTCTGGTTAGCTGGAGGAAAAGTTACTCTACTGTAAAAACGTGGGTGACCATTCAGCAAGCCTCTGACGGTTCTGGTTGCCACAGTCGATTCTGCATAATCACACCTCAGGCTGTGTGACATTTCTGCACCTTCCTCCCTCCTTCTTTAACTGAAAACTTGAACTACCCCTGGTGATGGGGAACAGGCAGAGGCCTGGCTTATAGTTCCAACTCTGTCATCAACTCACCCAGTGAACTGTGAAAGTCCCTTCATCTCCCTGGGCCTCAGTTTCTTCATCTGTGGATGGAGGGGGGCGCAAACCAGGTGCTCTTTGAGGTCTCCCTTCCTCTATGGTTACCTCTTTGGATAAAGGTAAGACAGAATTACCGTGAAATAATTCTTCATTTAAACAATGCCTTCAGAAATTGTTTGCTAAGCCCCTGCTATGCAGACCACGGAGTTGGAGGCCAATGTGACAAAGGAGGCAGGACAAAGGTCCCCATTCTCAAGGGCTTTTCAGTCTAAGGGGAATGGAATGGAGAGGGAAGTTTGCAAAACACTGAAATGAAACTCAAGAAGAAAGTATGGGTGCAGTGGGAGCAGGAGGGAGGGAACCACCAGCTTTGGTGGGCTGGGGTGAAGGAGGTTGAAGAAGGCTTCCTGGGAGAATGTGTGTGGCTGAGATTTCACTTGTGGCTCCAACTATTTCAGGTCACATAACGATGAAAATCAAACTAGGAGTAACTGCTAATATTCTTTCAATTGGTTTAGAGGAATAATTCTACTGTAGTTCAGCAGAACATTTTGTTTTGTCCCAGACCCATACATTTTTATTAAAACTACATCTCACATGTATATAGCCCCTTAGAGTTTAGGAACTTATGGAGGAGTGAGGAAACTGAAACTCAGAAAGGGATGAAATAACTCTCCGTGGGTCATGTTGCCAGTAAATGGTGGAGCCAGTACAGGAATCTGGGCCTTTTGAGCCTAGAGCAATCACAAAAAACTGAAACAAATGTCATCAGCTCTGCCAGCAACATGGTGAGCCTTGGTGACATGTGACGGTTGTTGTTCAAAGTACCAAGTGACCTGGGATCTTCTTTCTTCCTCTGTTTTTTGTAGCTTAACATAGAAAAGGGTGTGAGATTTGCATAAATCTATTTTGAGGAGCTTCGTCTGGTGAAGAAAAAGAGAAGTTAACGATTTCTGCTTCTGTGTCTCTTAAGGAAGATCTGAAATCAAACTGAAATATGATAAGAAAGACACTGTTCCCTCTAGGTCTGTAGGAACGAGGAGCTAAATCTGCTCCCAGGAAAGCTCAGGCTTCTAAATCGCCACCATTTCTAGTAATTTCCTACTTCGGAGTCAAAGGCTGCGCTACCTGCCTCCGGCTAGTTATAGCCCAAGGAAATGTGTCTGACGTTGGTCTGTTGGTTTCAACGAACCAAGAAAGAATCCCCACAGTCCAGAACTGGCAATTCAGCTGAACGGCTGGAGAGGACCCTGACGGTGGACTGGTCTCTCCCGAGGACTCTGAGGCCAGGAGTGAATGTGAAACTTGCACAAACGTCCCCTCCCCCATTCTTATCCTTAGGAACTTAGAGACCTGGCCTCAGTCACAATAAGACACCAACCTCTGCCATGTTTCTGGGCAGGGGAAATGCCGACTTTAAGTCCTTAGACCTGAGGCTAAGTTCTGGTGTTGTTGCATATTAGCTAGATGACTTTGACTCACTTCACCTTGTGGAGCCTCAGTTTCCTCATTTGATTAATGGGGATAAATAGTAGCACTCTGGTTGTAATCATTAAACGAAAATCACTGCATGAATGTGAAGTATATTATTGTTCTTCATTATTTGTTAGTCAGGAGCAGACGGGTTTTGGGGGTTAAGACTTCAGTCTCTGGGTTCCAATCACCACTCTGCTTCCCATTAGCTGTATGATCTTGGGTGAGTCACTCATATTCTCCGAGCCTTGGTTCTTTTACCTTTCCAATGGGATCATAACATTGCCTAGCTCATAAGGTTGTTTACAGGATTAAATGAGATAATGCCTCAATACCAGGCATAGAATAAGCTCTCAGAAAATATCTATTATTATTATCATGATTAATACTGAAAATCAAGTCCAAGTAAAATAAACTGTAAGTGAGAACGGACACTATGAAAAGAAGTGGCAGCCTGCAGTTTGGAGATTTTTGGCTTTGCGTGTGTGTGTGCACAGGCACTCACGTCTGCGTGCAAGGGGGGATATGCCAGCAGAGACTGAATAGGTCTAATGAGCAGTCTGGGCTTTTCTTTAGCACTGGCTGGTGGTGGACCCCAGCTCCCCCTTTCTCTTCTCCATCCCCTGTGGGGATTTGAGCTAGTGCCCTTCCAGCTCCTTCTCTGTGTTCCTTTCTGCACAATCAGTGCCCATCCTGCCCCTCCTCCTCCCCAGCAGCTGAGACATGAGCAAACGTCTGAGGCCCAGTGCTCTCTTGGCCCAGATGTGGCTGCTGCCACAGAGCGGGAGTGTCCTCCCATCCCGCTCGTGCACGCTGGCTCCCCTCAGCCCATGTGCTGTGAGTGCCCGGCGCCTGCCTCCAGCCCTCCCACAGGCCCTGACAGCCCCTCTCCCTCTGCACAGTGTCCACGGGCTCCGTGACGCAGGTGTCCTCGGTGAGCACGGACTCGGCCGGCTCGTCGTACTCCATCAGCGGCATCCTGGGCATCACGTCCCCCAGCGCCGACACCAACAAGCGCAAGAGAGATGAAGGTAAGAGACGCCACGCAGCCCTGTTGCCCTGTCGCCCTCTCACAGATGGCCCTGCGATCTGTTTCGGGCGCTCTGTCAGGGGTGGAAGCAAAGGGGCCCGCGAGGCGTGCCCCGACCCAGGCTCAGCCCCTGCGGTGAGGGCAGACAGGCAGCAGGGCCGACTGTGGAATCCTTGCTGGCCTCTCCCCATCGTCACCCCTCAGGGAGAGAAAGGGGACCTGGCAGAGCCCTGTGGCCTTTAAGAAGACCCTGTGTGTGCAGAAATGATGCTCGAGGCCAGAGAGCACAGGGGTCTGAGCCGACGCCCATGTCCCCTTTGTGGGGGAGCCTGGGCAAAGCAGCCACCTCCTGTCCAGCGTGCAAGGAGCACTGGCAGGCGGCGGGGAAGGAGGGGCATCAGAAAGGCTGTGCCAGCCCCTCAGCAGAGAAGGCCTTCAGCCCTGCTGGTGATGGGCGTTGAGGAAATTAATAATCATCTCAGCCTTGCCCTTGGGCTTGGAAGAAAGGAGCGCAGGGGGCCTCGTGGGAATTACAAAGATGACAATCTTCCTGCTTGGTTTTTCTCCACCCCTTGGCCTGCCGTGTGCTGCCTGGGCCTTCAGAGCCGGCCACCTCCATCCTGGACATGGGGCACCTTCGCCCAAGTCTCCTCTCCCCTGGACGGGCTGCCAGCGCCGGCTGACATTAATGGGTTTGAGAGGAGAAACGACCCCCTGGGAGTCTGTAAAATCTTAGTCAGGAAAGGAAGAAAAAAAAAACCGGGGCTGTGGTCTAGGGCCTGAGAGCAGCGTGACAGAAATCTTGATTCAATTATTCTGTTCCTCGGCACAATTCCCTTTCTCAGCTCCGTGTAAGGGATGTATGTTCTCGTGAGCACATGCCCAAGTACTTAAGATCTGTAACTAGAAAATTGAGTCGGCCCAGCAGTGGATTGGCCTGGGGTCTGCGTGTTCCAGGCAGCACAGAAGCTGAGAGCCTGGGGCCTCTGTTTGGAGCTGGGGGGCACGAGGGGACGATTCTCAGCTTTTGGAACCTGCCTGGCCTCTCCGGCTCCTGCCGCTCCTGAGCAGATGTCACAAGTCTTTAGCTCAGTGGGCCGCTGTGCTCTGCTGCTGCAGGAGGCAGCAGGCCTGCCATCTCTGTTGGTTTATTGGGTTGATGGTGTCATCTTTTCTCCCGTTGTCACCTAGACTTGCAGCAGATGTGCCCAAGCAGGGGCCTGGCTGTCTTGGATCACGGTGGATTGTGTGAGGGTCCCTTGGGGGCTGAGGGATCCAGGCAGAGATTTGTGGAGAAAGAAAAAAAAATACAATTTGCTGTTTACCACCAAACAGACAGGTCCTGGTTTGGGGGGATTGTTTCACTGTGTTTGTGGAGTGTGGTATTGGCTTGTCGCCTCTGGTCAGCAGTCACTGTTTGGACGCTTGAGGTGCTTTCAAAGATGTAGGGTGGTCAGAATGTGGGTGGTGTTTGTCTTGACCACTCTGTGCTGGTCGGATCATTCCCCAAGGACTGTGGCCTGTTTGGGGCTATTGGTCTTAAAGAGGGACAGTGACAAATGAGGATGCTTTCAGATGAGTGTAACCTGGGTGGAGGGCAATCTGATACAGCACCTGGGGACACCTCAAGGATCTAGGATGCACTGGCACAAAGAAGAGCAGAATAAGCAGGACTGGACTGTCACTGTCACATGTTTGGAGGGCTGACAAGGGGAAAATGGAATGACATGTTGCCGTGTGGCCCTAAAAGCCAGTGTGTAGCAGATGCAGAGGGGATTTCAGCTCAATGTGAGAAAGAACTTTGTATGTGTAAGAATGGTCTAGGGATAAAAGGAGATGCCTTGGGAGGTAGTGAGTGCCCCATCTCTAGGGTTATGTAAGCAAAGACTAGGTGGCCACTTGTTGGGCTGCCACATAAGAGTATCAAGAATCAGATGTGGGATTGGATGATCTTCAAGATCCTGTCAGTTCTGAAATTTATGGTAGAGTCCTGATCCTTAAGAAGACTCGCGGGGTAGTCCAGTCTGTGGGCTGTGGGGTAAGGGAGAATGACTTGCTGCTGGAAGCTTACAGCAGTGGGAAGAGTGGGGGACCTGAGCAGCAACCAGGGTCTCCCCCTCACCAAGTGTACGTGGCGGGGCACAGGGGTGGGCAGAAATGCCCTTGGTCACATCAGGGAAGTGTCTGGGGGGAGTATAGCATGGTGCCCCCTCCTAGCCTTTCCTATCCTGTCTCTGTATCTCCTTGACTCCAGGGGAGGTGAAAGGGCAGAGATTGCCCATTTTATTAGGGGAAGTAACCAAGGCCCCAGGAAGCTGCGTGACATTGGCAAAGCCACAGCTGGTATGGGATGGGGAGTCTGGAGGAGGTGGAGGGCCCCCGAGGCCCCCGTGTCCTGGTGTTGCCTGGCTACCTGTTGCCCCTCAGCCCCCCAGAGAGGCCCTTTGGAGGTGGAGCAGCCTGGGGCTAGGCAGAGGCTGGGGACGGTGTGGGGAAGAGTTTTGAGCAGAAGGTTGGATGCTACCAAGAGTGAAGTGAGACCTGAAGGTCAGGGGTTTGAGGAGAGCAGAGAAAGTGAGAACTGGCCACTGGGGAAACCCTGGGAAATTGCCAGGGACACTGGAGGGCTGGCCCGTGAGGCTACAGACTTGATTTTCGAGGGAGCTGGCCTCTAGGATGGTACCATTTTTCTCCGGAGGGAAGCAGCCTGAGGTAAGAGTCACGGAGAAAGAGAGGCATTAGAGGGCCAAGAAGAGGACATCAGGATCCGTGCCCCCATTTTTCAGATGAGATGACTGAGGCTTTGCAAGGTGTGATCACTTGCTCAGATGCCTGGTTTGTAGTCATCTCCAGCTTGGACTTGGGTTTTGCCCTGTGGGCATTTCCTGGGGCCACTCTCCTCCCCTGACCTCAGGGCAGAAGTGGGCAGTGATAGGATCTAGTCACAGAGGGAGGGTGGCAGGCAAGACTGGCAAGCCCAGAGTCCCTCTGATGGGCAGGGCAGTGTGTGAGGTCACACCAAGGGGAAAGAGTAAGGCAGGGAGGGACCGGTTTGGATCAAAAGGATCCGAGAGGGGTCCTCATAGGAGGTGGCATTAGAAGGCTGAGTAGAGGGCATTCTCTTGTCAAAGGCAAGAGGGATTGTGCCAAGGCTGGGCTGCAGTGAGCACGTGCAGGGAAAGACCAGTATAGCAGGATTTGGAAAGGGAGAAAGTTAGAAAGACAGACTGGGGTGACTCAGACATTGACCAAGTCCTCTGAACTTTTAGTCTGGAAGCAATGGGGAGATAGTTTGAGCTGTGTGTCTTAGAGATTCGAGAAACATTGTGCTTTGGGAGGTAAGGGTGGGAGGATCCCTTGAGTCCAGGAGTTTGAGACCAGCCTGGGCAACATAGTGAGACCCAGTCTCTACTAATTAATTAATTAAAAAAAGAAGCATGCACTGTGCTGAGTGTTTCGGATATGAGGGTGGATGTGAAAGTGATTAGCCCAGCGCTATCCAATAGAAACACAATGCAAGCCAATATGTAATTTAAAAATTTCTGGTAACCATATTAAAAGGAATAAAAAGATACAGGTGGAACTCATTTTAATGATATATTTTATTTAGCCCAGTATACCCAAAATATTATTATTTCAACATGTAGTCCATATAAAAAATTGGATGACTTGTTTTCCCTTATTTTTTGGTAATCTGGTATATATTTTATACTTACAGGACATCTCAATTTGGATGACATTTCATAGTTAAATGTAGTCCTACCAGAACAATACAGTTGTGTTTAGTGAAAAAATATCTTATACTGCTTCTATTTTTAAATTTAAATTAATTAAAATTAAATTAATTAAAATAAAATTAAAAATTCAGTTTCTCGGTTGCATTAGCCACATTTCAAGTGCCCAATAGCCATATGAAGCTAGTGACTACTTTATTGGACAGCATTGCTCTAATACAAGTGCTTGACACATAGTAGGTGTTCAATAAATGCTCCTGGGTAGAACTGGATCAGTTTTAGAGGGTTTACAATTAATGAGGAGGGTGATTTGGGGGGTGTCTCCACTCTCCTCAATCACAGATGCTTCTACTTGGTATTTTGGGCTTCCACAGAAAGCTCTGCTGCAGAAAGAAATAAATTAGAACATTGTTTTAGACCCGTGGATTGGCAAGGGCCCTTTTAGTCTAGAAACTCTAGGATTCTCCCCAGGATGTTTGCCTCCAAGACCAGACTTGGGAACGTGGCCGCTGTGTCCAAGTCTCAGATGAACTGTTCTGTATCTGACACGGCAGATGAGATCCGTGTGGCCTCTGCAGGCGGAGCTGAGCCTGGCTGAAGGACGCTGGGGGAGGCAGGTTGGGCCGAGCGCAGCAGATAACTTTCAGACAGCAGCCAGGCCAGGCCAAGGATGGAAGCATTATCTGGGATAGGCCGTGAGCAGGGGCTGGGCAAATGAGGGGCAGAAGAGTCAGAGGGCATTCTGGTTTGGACTCTGTGACTTTTCAGGCCTGTTACAATCTGGGTGGCAAGTGCTTCTGTGACTGCTGGGTCTGCAAGTGGTTCTACCCACTTCTTTTTCCCGGCCTGATTCTGAGCCTGCCATTCATGTGGACTAGACAGGGCAGGGCCCACAGTGCATGCGTGTCCCTCCCCAGCCCAGCCCCCTGGCTCACGGAGAAGCTCGGAGGCTTGTGGGGTGGCTCTGAGAGTCAGGCTGGGGTACTGCCCCGTCGTGAGATGCAGCCTCGTTCTTGGTTGGTCTGAACTGAGAGGTTTTGCGGAGGAAGCTGAGGCATCGCCTCAGGAATCCTGCCGGGCTAGGGAGCCTGAGGTGGTACTTCTGTCCGTGGAAGGCCCGGAGATGGTGGTGGCAGGGGTGGACTTGGCAGAGCAGGCAGGGCTGTGAATAGCGGCCATGGGTGAGAGGGCAGCCTCAGACTCTCTGTTCCTTCCTGGGCCTTTGATCTCTGGCGAGGCCTCCTTCCGCTCATCTCCCCCATTCAGG